ACAAGGTAGAATCATCTATTCAATCATTAACAATTAACGATTTTCCTTTAAATTTTGGTCTTTGATGTAAGATGTGACCCATTATTTTAGCGAGCACCCCAAGACATCAATGAAGTGTTAACCCATCAATCCAGCTATTTTATATAAAACGGGTTGCACTACCTATTTTAGTCTAGTGGTCCCATTATACATAAAATACTTGGCATCCTTATGCGAGATATAACTAGATAATAAATTTTAACAAATCCTATCCTTTGTGGAATCAAATAAGCTAAAAATTTATTATCCAAGTTATATCTCTATGATGGAAGACCTTTAGATTTATATTTCTTAAAAAAAATTAATCTATCTACACTTCTATACAACTTTTGTTATTTATTATACCTGAGAGAAAATAAAAACTATCAATTTCTAATAAATTCTAAACTGTTTTATTTAATAAAGGAAATTTAGAACAATTCTGGACATTTATAGTAATTTTTCATGTATTACTTTAATCACATGAATTATTGAATTTAAACAATTTAAAATCAACATGATCATATCACAAGTATAATACAAATAATATTTCAGAAATATACATGATACAATATCATTTCTAACAATTTACTAAGAGTTAGATAATCTTTTCAATAAAAGAAACTAAACTATACATGCATATGGACTTTAGAATAATTTCTACAACTGCTAGGGACTAATCAAAAATTAGTCTATATATTCAGATGGATCTTAAAACAATTTCAAAATCAATCAGGAGGGTGAAGCTAATTTCTCATCAAAATTAATATATACTAGTAGACTCAGAACAATTTCTGGATCAAACAATGGTCTGTAACTAATTTTACAGTTATTCATCTATACTGGTGGACTTCAAAACAGTTTCTGGGTTTATCAGGGAGTTATAACTAATTTTATAACGCATTTGAGAATCTGATGGATTTCAGAATAGTTTCTGGGTCAATCAGGGATCTCAAATTAATTTTATAATAAAATTCAAATCTAATAGGGTTCGGGTCTGGTTCTGTTTGCGGGTCAGACCCGTTCAACTAAAATTTAAATCTTAATGGGTTTGGGTTCATAACCCTTAATGAAAATAAACCCAATAAGAGTTCATCTTCTTCAAAGAAGATCTAGGGTTTGGGTAGGGTTGTGGGATGACCCGCCGCCACCCTTAGCCGATCTCCGACGGTCCAACTCGCTGGTGTTGCCTTTTTTTTAATGAGATCAAATCTCAACTAGGTCACATTTAATCAAATTAAAATAACCAAAATACATTATCTAATCAAAGAACCATAATCATGATCATATCAAAAACTTCAATTGATCTCTATCAAAAAATAAAAAAAATTTCTCGGATAAACAATAACCCATGAACAGTATTCGCCGATGAACAGTGCCGACCCCTAATTTTGATCCTAATCAAAATTTAATTTAATCCAATCAAATAATCATAACCCTTGAACAACAACACCATATTTTGATCTAATCAAACTTGTAATTTACTCTAATTAATTTCAGTTTAACAAATTAAACTGAGATGAATAGTAACCCGATGAACAGTAACCACTATAGATGAACAGCGTTCCCGGCTGATGATCAGTGTTCCCAGAAGATAAATAGTACTGCCTGAAATGAACAATATTCTCAGCCGATGAACAGTACCCAAAATTTTCAATCAAAATTTTTTAATTTAATCCAATTAAATTATTACAGATTAGATTCTAAACCCGCTCTGATACCATCTGTTGGAATCATGACATACAACGCCGCGAAAAAAACATATCATGACTATTAATCAAAATTGATTAAAAACTAGAAGAATTCCTGAAACGCTTTCTGAGTTTCTACAATAATCTGTTCCGAGATCAATCCGAAATAGCTTCCTCAAGAGAAAAAACCTCCAATTGAAATCCACCTGTCACCGTAGAGGAGCAATACTGAGAGATAGGTTCTCAAAAATCTATTTCTTCATATTATCTTCATAAGATTTTCAATCTCATCTATCTCCTCTCATAAGGCTACATATGAACCCTATTTATAGGATTACACTAGTCTTAGATATTTTAACTTTAAACAATTCATAACTATTTAGAACTCTATCCATAACAATTAAAGATAGAATAGATTTGTTCAAAAACTTTATCCATAACAATTAAGGATAGAAATATAATTGCATTGTATGTATACCTCTTCTAATGACATTAGTGAGACCAATTGGGTCCCATATCGAGAACCAATTATTAATCAAATTAATAATTTTAATTTAACAATCAAATCCCTATCCGACCAACTGTTCATAAAAGCTCTTCCATAATATGAGATTAAATAATATCTTACATTCACTCCCTGCCAGTATTATTTCTTTTAGGCAACTCTTTTAAGAAGGACAACTCACCTATTTTCTCATGCCTAAATTTGTAATTCCCATGAACATAAATAAAAAAACATTTTGAAACATCAAAATATTTTATTTTTATAAGAAAGTAAATTTTTAAAAATATTTTTAAAACCATCTGCCGGCAGGAATTTAATAGTTTCACGGGAATGCATAATAAATTAACTCGTCATAATGAGCATACTGGATTCTATCTAGACATCTATCATTTTCCTAAATGAAATTTAGCAACCCAATGTTTCAAGTTGTGTAGCGCTTGCTAAATAAACTTAACCATCACATCAAAGCATACTAAATTATCAAATCGAAAATGACAATATCATCAAGTCAAAGGGACCATGTAACAATTTGAATTCTCTATCTCTTAGGTGACTCATCCTAGAGAATTCAAATACGGCCGAGTAGCTTGTAGAAGCCGGAGAAAATAAAAAAATTAAATATGAAAACAAAATATATTCAAGATGGTTGGTCGTAAAGAAACGACGATATCTCTCAATCCGGAAGGCGAAATTTAACGTATAATATATGAAAATCGCCTATCTCGATGAGACGAAGACATCTGTGGAGACAGATTTTTGATTGGACATTGATACCAGCATCGATGCTAGCATCGATGCTGGTATCGATACCTACGTCATTTTGTTATAGATCAAAGGCTAAAATTTTGTTTGTTTTGGATAAGATTTCAATCTAATGGCAAATTGCTTGTAGAAGCCGAGTCAAAGGGACATTGTATTGCATATGCCTGGGAAATAAGGTCTGCATTTAATCTTCTAATCCAATAAACGGATTCAGTTACTAAATAAAAGCACCAACCAAGAGAGGCAAATTGCTCTCTAGGATGGTTCTCCAAATTAAAGTCTATGTATATATAGGATAACCTTATGTTTCCCCTTATAAATAACTTGCTTCGTGTTATTGCTTCCTCCTCATAAATGGACCGTCTTCAGTCTCCTTCCCTCCAGTTTCATTGAAACGACCCTCGTATTTGCAGAGTCGACCACCAATTTCTCATGACAAACTCCACATGGATAAATAACTCACAGTCTCTGACTCTTTATGACGAGAAAGTATTCTATATAAGATGTATAAGAAAGTTAGGAAGAAAAAGGATAATGTTAAACATTTTCCTTTGAAGCAGTTGGCTAGACCCTGCGTTTTGAGTATTGCCTAGAACAAGAGACTTTTTACAAAATCCAGACATCTTTCTTCGAATCTTATCTTCTGTTTTACTAAGCACATTGGAACTACATAGATTGCCTATAGACAAATAGTATTGACTGCTTACAACTAAGTACAATGCTTTTAAATCTTTGATAATGTGAAATTGTTCTAAGTACATAGTAAAATTATCAAACTATTTGTCATTTGTACAGTCGAGGAGACACTTCCAAACGAATGCATTTTGTAGTTTCGATCAATAGATTGCATAATTGGTGTAATCAGACTGGTAATAAATTTCAAGAGTGTGCTTCATGACCTGACAAACTATGAGTAAACCTCGCTAAGCAAGCACAACAAATCTATGTAAAAACTAATGATTTACATAATTCTCTTAGTTCAATTGGTTCGACAAAACTGTCGTGGGTGATCAGGGTGGTTGGAAGGTTCTAATATGGCTCCCACGGTCTTGGGTTTGATTCCTGGCTGGCTATAAAAAAAAATGGTTTGAAAAACATGGTATAGATGAAAGAGTTTCTTGTAATTTACCCAAAAAATATTACAAACAATAAACCTCTGGTTATTATTGCAAAATTGTTATATGTTTGATCAGGGCAGTGATATTAGGAGGAAAAGAAAAAAACAAAACAAATCATAACTAAGTAGCAATTCAAGGAATTAATTTGAAACAAATTATGAGAACTGGGGCAAGCAATAGCAACTGTGATTTAGGGACTAATTTTAAAATAACTTAAGAATTTGATGACCTAAGAGCAATTTCAATGATGTGAGGGACTAATTTCAAAATAATGAAATATTTAAGGAACTAATGTCGAAAAAACCCTTAAATTTTTCTTGTTTGATTTCCATTTAGGGCCTGTTTGTTTGCACAGAAGTAATTGTGAAGGAGCTGAAGTAAAAGAAGTAAAAGCTATTTCTGCTATTTCCATGCAAAAAAGTGTGTTTGGTTCTCTGAAAAACTTACTTCTAATACTTCCCTAAATGCTTATGTGGCACCTACGTGTCATCCTTACTTCCAAAATATTTTTCCAATCCTCAATACTCAGAAGTAGCTCGGAAGTAGTTGAAATGCATATTAATTAGGACATAAATAAAATTTTTATTAATATTTCCTTTATTAGTTACTTCTAACAACTTTTCATTGATAAAATTACTTCATAGTAATATTTTCAAATGTTATCCAAACAAAAAAGTAAATGAAGAGGAAGAAGTTTTACTTCTATTACTTCTAAAAATATATGAAACAAACAAAAAAAAATGCTATTTCCACTACTTCCTACTTCATAGCTTTGAAAGTTACTTCTATAACCTACTTCTTACTTCTAATACTTCCATTATCCAAACGGGCCCTTAGTTTATTTTACTTCCAATTTTCTGGTTCAATTCTATTGACTTTTCATATTAATTTCTCGGTTCTTTTAAGCCCTAACAGGATATGACTTTGCAAAAACAATTCCGGGGAGGGCTTGATTCAGGACCTGGAACCTAAGTTCAAATTTCTATACGTGCCATTACCAACTTCCGATATCGCCCTTCCACTTCTTCCACAATGAAATTGAGAGTAGGCCCAAATATTCAAAGATCTGAAGCAAACTTTGGTATGTCATTGGCTATGTCTACCTACGTTTCTCTTGTCTCCCTCTTTCTATGTTTATTACCTGTTTGATGAAATTCCTATTAGATAATCTTGCTTTTCTAGTCACTAAAAACCCGTTGTTGTCTGTCATGAACACAATTTAGGATCACATTCTCGTCTTCGGACAATGATTTCGTAAAAGAAACTGTAGTATCATATTAATTATATATCCATTACGTTTATATGGACGTTAATCTATTAGAGTCGGAGAAAATTTATGTGTGTTTTGAAAGACAATGTCACATGAAGGTGGACCATCATAATTCCTTCTTTATCATCTAGAATTAACAACCCAGTACACATGGTTGGTCCTTTGTAGGAGGAACCATGCATCAGCAGCAAGATCCGTATTTACTCAGTTGCTAAGCCAAATACTACATCAAGAGAGACAGTGTTACACTAGGATGACCCTTCACATTAAAGTACCTGCATCAATAGACTTATCTGACATTCAACCTCCACCTATAGTCGATACACATTAATTCTCTCCAAAGAAAAAATTCCACTTGCCACGAGATCTGTCTTCAATCCGGCCCATTTCCATAATAAGATAGAAATTTCCAAATAATTAACGTACAAACAGTTGGCTGGACCCAGCATGTTGCAGCTTTGCAAGGAGCAAGAGAAGGAAATGCTTTGGTATATGTCTCCCTCAAATGCTATCATTTCAGTACTAGCCATTTGCCAATGTTTCCTCTCCTAAACAGCATACACAACTCTCCAGCTTGTCAATGGACCACTCTATATCGTTATAAGTAGCAGTCTACACCACTATTTTTCTCATCACATCCCCAACCTTAGAAACTAGAAACAAAAGCATTTTCCTCTCAAAATTTTCCGTTGATCTGGATATTAGTGATGATGAACCCTAAGAAGCTCACAAAGAAGGTGTCTGCCTTGGCCAAGAGAGTGTCGTCAGCACTAAATGACACTCAAATTGAATCCAACAAAGGCTACTTCATTGTATATACATCAGATACGAAGAGGTTTACGATTCCCTTATCATACCTTGAGAGTTCTATCTTTGTAGAACTCTTCAAGATGTCTGAAGATGAGTTTGGATTGCCAAGTGACGGGCCTATCACGTTGCCTTGTGATGGGGTGTTCATGGAGTTTGTTCTTTCTTTGCTCAGAAGGCGAGGGTCTAAAGCTATGGATAGAGTGTTATTGGATTCTGTATTCAAGCATCGTCAGTCTCCATGTTCTTCCCGCGTTGTAGGATTTAGACCACAAGTTGTTTGTGGGTACTAAATATTTTGATTCAGATTGTGCAGTCAATTACAAATTGAATTAGTTAGATATCAATGTTAATGCCACAAATTTACGACAAAACATCTAAATTTTGAAGAATTAGCGAAGTTTTTTATGTTTGTAATGCATTGAGCCAGCACTTTTTGACATAAATTTGTAAATCTTACCCTTTTATATTGTATTTGATTAGAATTGTGAGCTCTTAAATATTGTCTGTAAGGTGTTTGAAAATCTTATCAGTCTCATGGCTATCTGATTTATTTTAAATCTTTATTGAACTATTGATTCATTTCTTTATGAACAAACTTAATGTGCTGATAATCTTCTATGAGGAGGATGGGTGCCCCTAAGTTGTGAGAAACATAAGCCTTAACACGGATAGGGGGAAAATATCTTTTGTAAAATCTAAAGATTTTAGGTCCTATTGCGAGTTTGATAATTAAGTTCATTATCTTTTTCCCCATGTTCAGAGTAATACGATAGTTACTTGCAATACCTCAAAAATCTATCCTCAGATATGTTAACTCTAAGACTGTATTGTTGGATTTGGGTGTGGATCCAAACCTCCACAGGCGAGGAGCTTCAGGCGAGCTCCTCAGGCGAGCTCGAGCGTGGCGCGGGCGAGGGCGATATCCGAAGGCAAGTTCGGAGATCTGCAGGTGAGGTCGACGCAGCTGCAGGCGAGCTCGCGACCTTCAGGCGAGCTTGAGGAAACCCGCAGGCGAG